GAGCTGCGTCTTCTTTCTTTTCAGAAAGCTCAGCGGTGTCCTGAGTCCCTGACCTCCTGCCCCTGGGAGTCTTCCCCTTGGCAGATGGTGAGTGGGTGTGGGAAGGCTTGTCACAGGGATGGGGAGCCCAGAAAGCCCCTCCCACACAAAGACAGCACCACCGCACCTCCCGTCACCCCCTTAAGACCAAGAAATTGAGGGAAGTCCCACCTCCCTCTACTTTGCCCAAGCCCTGGAATCTGGTCTTCCATCACAGCGGTCTTTCTGCTCACGCTCCACCTTCAGCCCTGAAGAGGTCACTCTGATGCAGGAAAAATGGATCTGGGGTGTGAGAAGGGCCGTGTCCCAGGCTTCGGTTGAGCCCCTGGGACGTGTCCCACCAAGTGTGGGCCCTTGGCTTCGCGCAGGAAAGAATTCAAGAGCCAGCACAGTTGAGTAAAGGTAGATTTATTCAGAGAGGTACATTGAAAGGCACGAGAAAGGCCATGAGGTGTGGGGGCTGGGTGCTCAGATTAAAAGTAGGTACACATTCCGTAGACTGAGTTTGGGCTGTCTCCGTCTCCAAAGAGGGAGGGACAGGGGACAGCAGTCGTGAGGCACTGTGTTGCCAGTTTTTATGGACTTGGTGGCTTCATATGCTAGTAAGTGGAAGGAGCAGTCTAACTAGCCTGGGGAAGGGGCTGGGATTCCCAGGAAGTTGGCCATTTCCCACTCTTTAACCTTCTGTGGCTAGGCTTGGGACTGCCATGGTGCCTGTGGGCATGTTATTTGCCACGTTAATATATTACAATGGGCGTATAAAGAAGCTCAAGATCTGCTAGAAGTCAAATCTCCCACCACCTTGAGCCTCAAGGCCTACTGGGGGTTGAATCTTCCACCATTTTGATGTTAATTGCTGTAGCATTCCTTGAATGGCTCTGCTTGAATGGCCCCCTTCCTGTCTCAACTCCAATTGCCCCCCAGCCCGCAACGGGGAGGCACACCCCTGGTTTTACCTTGCACACCTTCCACTCCTGCCACTTCCCACTCGGTCTCCATCCCCACGTCAGAAAGTCCTCTGGCAGTCCAGCTTTTGCAGGACAAAGCAGCTTGTCCCTGGAGAGGCCGTTCCTGGGGCAGAAGGGGTGGGAGGGAGCACTGAGATACCCCTCAGATTCTGGAGACTCACCAGCCACATGGGCCAGCCAGAGAAGCGAGGCCTTAGCTCGGCTTTAGGACCCGGGAGTTCCAGAAAAACAAAAAGGCTCTGAA